GCTTTTTTTTTTATTGATAATCACTTATAAATTACAAGAGTTTCATCCAATGAGATATTTTTCATATCCAGGCGTTCTCTCCACTTTCTAAAGGTACCATACTCATTTTTATAGGCAGAGAAGACCCAATATTTTCACATTCATGTCTTGTCACTCAACAGTATCGAGTTGGGACTCTGTGTCAATGACTTTTTACCTTGATCGGTTGTTTGTTAAATCAACAAACGGTGATGAATTAATAAAGTACGCTAATGACATATCCCAATTGGTTGCTAAGGTTAGCTTCATCAGGCAATCACAATGCCGACCTTAAATGAGACCCCTTCATTAATGAATTGTTTAGAGAATAAAGCCACAACATATGATTGGTAGGTTTGCTGGGCACTAATGTAATCCTTTCTGAATGTCATTATTTAATTGAAGATTACGCTAGTGATAAAGATTCTGCAATGATTATGTTCCCTCAAATCTCGACTGTCGTTCTTCCGAATTGGCCTTACATGTCCGACATCAATGGATCATGATCCAAGTGCATATAATAACCCAACTTAATTAAATTGCCAGGTCGGATGTTAACGAAATTAATTGTGAATTTTAATTTAGATTAAAATCTAAATTTTAATTCATATGAAAGATAATGTTTTATTTTATTTACCAATGCCAAGTGGAAGGAAGGTGGTAGTGCATATTCTCAATAAAGTCACAAAGAAGAAAAATAACATATAATCTTGTAATTTTCATTCTAAAATTAGTGTTCCTCAAAAGCACTTTAAAAGATGAAGTTGGTGCTTGGTGGAGATTAAAATTAAATTTTTAGTAGATTGTAATAGAAGTTTTTGAAATGTGTGGTTGAAAAGTTGTGGGATCCATAAAAAATGTGGTTAATATTGATTGTTTGATTTTAATTTAAATTAAAATCTGATTTTAATCCAAAACAAACGAGGCCAAAACTTCACATCGCTTATCCCAAAAAATATATAAAAACTTAAAATACTTTTCTTTGCGGATTGAGAAGAATAATTCAATTGTTGACTCTCTTGTATTTACCGTATAGAAGAAAGTTTCTTAGCCATCATTGACCTCAATTATTTGAAAGAAATTGATTTTGGAATATTATTTTTTCAATAATATGTGGATGAAAAGTAAGAAGAAATTTTGAATTTATCTGTAATATTATTTTATTGAGAGAAAGTGTGGTTGATAAAGAGGGAGATAAATAATCTCCTAATTACAATTATTTATATGACATAATCTACTTATTTTCAATAATCTATTAAGTTGACTATAATTTTTTTTTTTTTTTTTTTGATCTTATCTAGTGCTTGTTTGGGAGAGATTTTGGAGGAATAATTGATTTTGAAAAGTGATATGATGGGAAATGCGTGGTTGAAAAATAAGAAAAAATTATTGATATGATGAAAAATATTATTTTATTGAAAAATGTGTGGTTGAAAATGAGAATTGATTTACTGTAGAATTTCCTAAAAAAAGAATTTGATTCTGTAGGGGCAGATTTGCGTTTATGAGTTATGTATTAAGCCCCTGTTTGGCCCCCATTATTGTAGATTTTTAGGGGGTTGAAAATTTTTAGAATAGTGATTGATGGGAGATGTGTGGTTGAAAAGTTTTAGATTTGTGTGTATTATTATTTTATTTGATGAANAATTAAAAAAAGAATCATTTGGTTCAATTACCAAAAAATCATTGGTTCATGGCTCAGTCCTCCTGGAACAAGAACCAAATGGAACCATATACACCCCTACTTTTTATTATTCCTTCCTGTTTGAGCCCATTTTTGTTAAAAAAAAAAATGCATTTTTGAACAGTGTATTGATGGGAAATGTATTCTTAAAAAATGAGGAAAATTTTAAGTTTGCGTGTGATATTATCTTATTGAAAAATGTATAGTTGAAATAGGGTCAAAATATTATTTAAGAATGTATTTAAAAAAAAAAAATCAGGGCTTAAACAAGGGAAGGTTGATGAAGTCTATTCATTCTAACGAAATTAGTATAAGTGCTTATTTTTTCTTCACTACCAACTTACTGAAATCATATTTTTTATCCGCATTTGATTGAAAGAAAGAAAATGTAGAAATAATTATTAAAAAAAAAAAAAGAAGAAAAAAATATATATCAAAGTCATCCTAACCTACCATAACATAGAAAAAAGTATGGGTTCCTGGTCAGAGAAAATTGGACTATGAACATGCTAATGCCTTTGTAATTAATGATTTAAGTCTTAATGATTAAATTTTGCTTAAATATTATGAACTTTTGAATTGGGCAAACTTCAATTTTAATTGCATTTTTCTTCAATTTTTATCAAAATTTACTAAAATGTTTACCGATTTTTTTGTCAAGCAACTCCTTAATTCACGTTTTATTACGAACAAACATTCTTCTTAAGATCGATATGTCTTAAAGTGGTTGAGAAAGTTATATATTATGTAATTATACTTCGTGCTTGGTTTATATAAATAAGAAGATCGGCGTGTCTAAAATTTATTCAAAATTCACTCAAAAGTTGAAATAGATCAAGTTTGAATAAATTTTAAAGTTAGAGTTGTAGTTAAAAGTTAAAACTCCAACTTACTCAACTCTTATGGTAAGATAGCGTGTTGAGTGAAGTAGATTAAACTATATCAAACATATAGTTATCCCTTTGGGAAGAATTTATAAATAGTCAAATTTAAAAATAAATAGAGATGATTGATAAGCGAATAATTGAGTCCATTGTAATGTGTTGATTTTTTTAAAATATTTAGCCAATAGCCATACTCAACGTCATCACACATTAAAAGTAGAATTTTTGTGTCATTCTATAACAATCACTCATTCCTCGAACGAGATCTAGTAAATTTATTATTTTACCCTAAATTCACAAAGTCCAAAGCTTCATCACACTCACAATGAACGTGCCAAACTGTTGACGTTAAAAAGTGTGTGGATCAATTCAAGTCAACTTTTAAAGCAAATAAAGAGAAAATGAGACTTTTTTTTATCGATAATCACTTATAAATTACAAGAGTTTCATCCAATGAGATATTTTTCATATCCAGGTGTTCTCTCCGCTTTCTAAAGATACCATACTCATTTTTATAGGCAAAGAAGACCCGGTATTTTTCACATTCATGTCTTGTCGCTCAACAGTACCGAGTTGGGACTCTGTGCCAATGACTTTTTACCTTGATCGGTTGTTTGTCAAATCAATAAACAGTGATGAACTGATAAAGTACGCTAATAACATATTCCAATTTGTTACTGAGGTTAGCTTCATCAGACAATCATAAGACTGACCTTAAATGGGCCCCCCTTCATTAATAAATTGTTTAGATAATAAAGCCACAACATATGATTGGTGGGTTTGGTGGGCACTAATGTAATCCTTTTTGAATGTCATTAATTAATTGAAGATTACGCCAGTGATAAAGATTATGCAATGATTATGTTCCCTCAAATCTTGGCAGTTGTTCTTCCGAACTGACCTTACATGTCCGACCTCAATGGATTATGATCCAAGTGCATATAATAACCCAACTTAATTAAATAGCCAGGTCGGATGTTAACGAAATTAATTGTGAATTTTAATTCCTACGAAAGATAATGTTTTATTTTATTTACCATTGCCAAGTGGAAGGAAGGTGGTAGTGCATATTCTCAATAAAGTCACAAAGAAGAAAAATAATACATAATTTTGTAATTTTCATTCTAAAATTAGTGTTCTCAAAAGTACTTTAAAAGATAAAGTGGGTGCTTGGTGGAGATTAAAATTAGATATTCAGTAGATTGTGATAGAAATTTTTGAAATGTGTAGTTGAAAAGTTGTGAGACCCATAAAAGATGTAGTTAATCTTGATTGTTTGATTTTAATTTAGATTAAAATCTGATTTTAATCCGAAACAAACAAGGCCAAAACTTCACATCACTAATCCCAAAAAATATATAAAAACTCAAAATACTTTTCTTTGTGGATTGAGAAGAATAATTCAATTGTTGACTCTCTTGTATTTACCGTATAAAAGAAAGTTTCTTAGCCATCACTGAGCTCCATTATTTGAAAACATTTGATTGTGGAATATTATTTTTTGAAGAATATGTGGATGAAAAGTAAGAAGAAATTTTGAATTTATCTGTAATATTATTTTATTGAGAGAATGTGTGGTTGATAAAGAGGAAGATAAATAATCTACTAATTACAATTATTTATATGACATAATCTACTTATTTTCAATAATCTATAAGCTGACTATAATTTTTTTTTTATTTGATCTTACGGTAGGAGCAGATTTGTGTTTATGAATTATGTATTAACAATTGTTACTGCGTGCCAAGTCATGCAAGAAGAAGAAGGAGAAGAAGAAGAAGAAATATGTGTGAAATCATGATTGTGTGTGAAATATGTAAATTTTATTATAGATTTGGCAATAATGATGAAGTATTAAGAAATAATACGCATCTAATCTAACGTGACATAATAACAAATTGAAATAATTTTCTACATCTTTCACCGGTGGCCGAAGGATGTGGGCTCAGCCCCAATAAAAAAAAAAAGAATTAAATTTATGCCCCACTTGTTTGAGTCGAGTTCCCCCACTGCCTTCCACGGCACGTTATCTCTCTCTCTATATATGTATCTGTTATATGTGTATACATATACGCTCCAAACTCCCATTCTGTAGCTTGACATTTTTTCTAATGTGTTCACATTTATGTTGAAATAATTTAGAGCATGTTTGATTCCATCTCTTCCTTTCGTTCACACATTTTTCAATAAAATAATATTACTTGTAAATTTAAAAAATTTTCTTATTTTTTAATCACACATTTTCTATCAAATCATTGTTTAAAAATGCATTTTGGCAAAAGAACGAGGCTCAAACATGTACTTTGACAGCACCAAGTATATGAAATTTCAGTCGTACCCAGAAAAACCTAATTACTCCATTTCTACAACTTTTTCTTGAATTTTCGTAACTTCTTTAAGAAACCCATTTCAAAATGAATGAAAACAAGCAGAAAAAGCGAAGGAGAAGGGAGAATGCAGGCATTATTGAAGAAAAAACTGGTGAAAATCAAGGTGGGGTGAAGACAAAAGAGTTGAAGGAGATCTTAACTTCATTGATTTTGCTTGAAGATCAAGAAAAGAACGAGCAAGAAGAGTTCGCCAAGGCGAATAGGGAAGAGAGGATTCAATTCGAGGAAAATCAGAAGAAGAAAACATGCACAATGATGGACTATTACTCGAAATTTCAAGAAAGTTATAAAGATTTGGATCAAATTGATGGGGTTAGAAGAAGAAAAACTCGTGCTGATGCTCTTGCTGTTGCAATTGGTGCACTGACAGTGGAGAATTCAGTTTCAATTTCTGATGAGAATAGTATAGATAACCGGGGTAATATAGCAGCCAGGACTGGCGTTGGCCCCGGCCGGCGGCTGTGGGTTAAGAATAGATCGACTGATTGGTGGGATCAATGCAACAGCCCTGAATTCCCTGAAGACGAATTCAAAAGGGCATTTAGAATGGGGAAAAGTACATTTGAAATGATATGTAATGAATTGAGTTCTGTTGTGGCAAAGGAGAATACTATGTTGAGGGATGCAGTTCCTGTAAAACAAAGAGTGGCTGTATGTATATGGAGATTGGCCACAGGGGAGCCTCTTAGGCTCGTTTCGCAGCGGTTTGGATTGGGGATTTCGACTTGCCATAAGCTCGTGCTCGAGGTTTGTTCTGCAATAAGGAAGGTTTTGATGCCCAAGTACTTGCAATGGCCGGATGAGGAGAATGTGAGGAGGATTAAGGACGAGTTTGAGGCGATTTCCGGGATACCTAACATCGTTGGAGCAATGTATACGACTCATATACCGATCATTGCTCCTAAGAATAGTGTGGCTGCATACTTTAACAAAAGGCACACAGAGAGAAATCAAAAGACTTCATATTCGATTACAGTTCAAGGTGTTGTTGACCCGAGGGGAGTGTTTACGGATGTGTGCATTGGTTGGCCTGGATCAATGCCCGATGATCAGGTTTTGGAGAAATCCGCACTTAACCAAAGGGCGAATGCAGGGCTCTTGGAGGGTGTTTGGATTGTCGGGGGTTCTGGATATCCTTTAATGGATTGGGTGTTGGTGCCTTATTCGCAACAGCATTTGACGTGGACGCAACATGCTTTCAATGAGAAGATCGGGGAGATTAAGATGATCACAAAGGAAGCATTCGCAAGAGTGAAAGGGAGATGGACTTGTTTGCAGAAACGGACTGAGATGAAACTTGAAGACTTGCCTGTAGTTCTTGGAGCTTGTTGCGTTTTGCACAACATATGTGAGCTGAGGAACGAGGAAATGGAGCCGGAGCTTGACTTTGAGCTTGTGGACGATGAAATGGTCCCCGAGATTGGGTTAAGATCAGCTAACGCGATGAAAGCTAGGGAAACAATTGCTCATAATCTTTTGCATCATAACCACACGGGGACATCGTTTATGTCGTAGAAAAATTGCAAATTTTTCGACAAATCAAAACTGGACTAGGAAGAAGACTCGGGTACACTAACATAAATTTATCGAAAATAATGTTTAATTGTTGTTGTTGAGTGAATATTACATTAGACACGTGTTGTGAAATTTAATAGCAAGTTTTGTTGTTGATAAGTTTAATGGTTGTTGTCTTGTAGGATGGAGAGGAATCATACCATAGAAATCAAAGACATTGTAGTATAGTTTATTCACTACAAGACATGGTTTTGTTGTATTATCAGCCTTCAAAAGCATAATAGAGAAGGAATTTATGTGGTAATAACCAACTAAGAGTACAAAATGTCCAATACTATTCATTTAGAAGTGATTTCAATGATGATGTTGAATAGCATCACTCGTACAAAATACTCAATTCCTACACCCACTCTCGAATGGTCTTATAGCAACATGGGATAGCAAATCCATAGAGATAACCATTTTTTCATAAGCCCGTGAAAGCATAAAACGGCGCACTACATAATTGCTCGGTGCTGAAATCCTTCGTTTATTCAATTACAATCATCCTTGACTAAGAAACAGACTATGGATGCTACTAGCTCTAAGTAATCCACATTTGGTTCATGTTTATGGACCTTCGTTGAGTAGATTCGATTGTGTTTTTTTTTTTTTAAATATCGATAACATGACATGATAATATTTTCATTAACAAAAGATGAACCAAAATTCGACCTTGACCTTTTTTGTATGCATGCTCATGGTCGAAATATTTAAGCGCGTGACTAGCAAATATTGTCTTGAACAAGTTACTCAAATTCTCATAATCTAGCAGAGCTTGTCATTCCGTATTCAACTACATTCCCAACCCCACCACTATCCAATTGTATTTGGTCAATGATTACCTAATTGTAATTATTATTGATTAAAAAAATATTGAAAATGACATTTTTAGCTTAACATGTAATAACAAGTAAGAAATTTCTGCATGATTTGTTGGTTCAATTATTATCATAGAAAATGGAAAGAATCATCCTCCATTATTGTTTATACTATTGTTCTCGTGTTAAAAACAAGGCTAGCTCTAATTGATTATATCAAATGTATAGGGCTACAGGGGCCCCAGCCCGCATGAACCATGACGAGTAGTCAACCTGCCTAAAAAAAAAAACTGAAAAAGGCATGCCTCAAATAAATTTAGGTGTTGCCATAAGACGGAGCTCTACCGAGCCTAGGTCAGGCCACCTCAAACCCGAGTTGTGCACGCCTCTATTCATAACTTATCTTCTCTAGTCCTTTCTCTTCAGTAAGTATAAGCTCCAATAAATCAAACCACAGGCATATCAACCTTCTTATCTTTCACCTCCAAAACTTATCGAGGAGGGGATAATAAAAGATAAAGTACCATCATATCAAAGGTAGAAAATCCGTGAGCACTTGTAAAATCAAAGGGGCATTCAATCGTACATTATATTTTTTGTTCAATAAGTAGTTACGCTAGGAGGACGCCCATCTAAGCAAGGAATGACAGTATTTTTATTTTATTTTTTTGCTAAATTACAAAATGTCTTGCTGATGCTTTGAACGACAACTCACCTTTTTCAGCAGGATGTGAAATGGTTGGCAAACCATGACGGCATTTAACTGGTCAGCCACTCAGGCATCAAACTCCAAATTATTGTCTATCCCGGTCAGAGGGTAGGCTAAAGGGAAAGTGTGCAAAAGAGATCCTCAGGACAGGGGACTCGGCTTTCTTGTCATCGAACTTGTAACCTGCATGCCAATGGCTTGATCAAAATATGGATCATGGATGCACCAATAGATATGACATTGAAAGAGCAAATTTTTGGTCACTTCTTATAAGGCTGCATTGCATAACTGCAAATTGATCGTTAAGCTTCATGATTATAAATCACGCAGAACTTGGCAAGAAATACTATTGTGTTATGATAATCACTTATCTCAGAAATATGTAGTTCCAACGTCCACAAACATCCAGGATAGAATATAGGGTCATCCATTTTTTTATTCTTCTGGGGGGGAGGGGGGAAGGGGATGGGAGCCTAATAATCAATTAATCGACATAATAGATCAAGAAGCTTAAACTGAATAACAAAGAGTTGGCAAAAAGTTGCGCTTTCCCATAGAATTTAGGAGGGCAATCAAGTGAACAAAACTCCAGCCAAGAATATTATAAAAACAGAAAGCCAGAAAATATCTTGAACCTTGAAGTGCTTCCTTAGCAGTAAGAGAGCATTTGGCATCAGAAAACTCAACAAAGCACAAGACGTTAGCTTTGTCTCCAGTCTGCAAAAGGACAGTTAGGTGAAATATCAATTTAAGAACAATAAACTGAATGAAGTCAGGAAGAATTGCAATAAGAGTTGCACTGCATTAGTATAAGAGTACAAGCATTAGAGAAATTATGAAAAAGGAGCGAGAAGGATGTGGCTTAGCTGAAGTTGTCTACAAAATTCTGTTCCTTCTGAGTATATAACATAAGGTAGCATATACAAAATAATTTTTTTGTTTTATATCTTTTTCAGTATAACTTCTCACCGTTCACCATAGATGTAAAGTCATTTCAATCCACTAGTCAATAAATATTAAATGATAGAATATTTCAATTTTCCATATGCAAATTGTAAGCCCTGAATGACCAAGCAAGCGATTGAGTGGCTAACTTACATGTCTAGGCTCCTTATGAACAACTCTCAGTTCCCTAAACCCAATGAAAGGGCGAAAAAGATCTGTTCGCTAGTCAAGGAACAAGATTAAGAATCAAAATACAGACATGATCTTGGGACAAGAATGTAATTATGTTCGCGCAAATAATTCTAAGAGATCACTCCTTACCCTAGGGGGTTGGCTTCCATGGGAGCAATATTGTGCCAAGACTGACATCTTAATAAGACTAAACTTGAGTTATGTGCTGTGAATGAAAAGATTCCTCGATTTTTGCTGGAAAACCCCAAATACAATGTGAGGGAACCAGCAGAAAAGCCGATCTTTATCACTTACATAAACACACACTCATAAATAACATAAGAAGACATGGAAAAGCATTAACAGCGATACAACAATAAGGATACGACCTAATTCTCTTCTTGTACAGTCATTTGGAAGCCCATCAACAAACAGAATGTTTGACTCTCCAGGTGTGACTTGATTGCCCTCAACCCCTCTCACAGAATTGGGCCTTTCATAAGTCGCATCAGGGATGCCAGGACTAATGCTTGGAGCAGCAACTCGTGGATGGCCTCGTAAACTTGGATCTTGTAAAGATGGGTAAGGTTTAATGCTTGCTCCAGCCATCGATCCATTAAGACCAGATTCATGACGAACACCAGCAGTATCATCTATGCCATAAGCACCTGAACGCGACGGTAATATCTAAAAACAAAGCCAAGATATAACCTGTTCATTGCATGTATTAAATATCTTGGCAGAAGATCAAATTGGGGGTAGTACTTACATCTTTCTGTGGGAAATCTGAAAAACTACCCTGCAAACCGTTGGAGCTATATTGATTACGAGTTGATAATATAGCTGCTTCAGATGATGAGTAGCCAGGAAAGCTTGGGGGACGAATGCTTCCTGTTACCATGCTACTAATTCAACCACAAGTTTGAATAAATAACACGTGAACAATAAAATATGAAGCGGCGTAGATAATCTTCGCAAAGAGATCCAGCTACCTTATTTTACATTTAAAAGCTAATATTATCAAATTGGATGATTAAGTTTCTGTTGTACAAGAATAAAGTCTTTTGGAAGATTGCATGGAAAGCTCTCATGTAATAAATTTTCTGTTGTACAAGAATAAAGTCTTTTCAGAGATTGCATGGAAAGCTCTAGCGTAATAAATTAGGCACATAACACTGCAAGTTCTTCAACACTCATTTACTCCTAGAAATGGAAAAAAAAAACCAGAGAACTTTTTATTTACACATCTTCTCTCAAAATACACAACCAAAAACAGTAAATAGAAAGTCACTGTTTACTGTAAAATAATCGATCGATGCTCATTGTGATATAGCATAAATATTCCATCATTCTCCTTTATATAAAGTTTCTTGGACCAACATCCACAACCATTTATCAAGTTTCTTGTTAGTAAAGCCTAAGCACTTTCCACCAAGCCTTCTTTTAGTAACTGAATTGCATGAACTTCCCAATTTTCAACTCCAATTCCCAGGCAGAATCTCTTTTGTATATTATCTAGCATGTATACCAGTAATATTTAAAGGAAATAAAATATATGAAACGTGTTCTATTGATTTGTTAGAAATAAGGCTTGATTACACCACTCCTATATCTCAACATTATCAGATTTATAAATAACTGTGCTACTGCTGTCTTGAGAACCAAGACTTCCAGCTTTAAAACTGTACTACAAGATTATCCTGAATGCACGAATTCCCAACAAAGAATTTTGCTTGCAAAGTCATTCCAAGGACCACAGACATCTGTTAGTTCCATAGAGATCTACTATTGGACAACTTTAAAAAGGCAAAACTAAACAAGCAAGATCGCTACAATCTATAAGCTAAATGCATAACTCTCTCACGAAAAACAATATTTCAGCTTGTTTACCATTTATGTTTTTATCAATAATACTCACTAAAACAAAGAGATTAAAAGGACCAAAATCCATATGCAAAGAAGACTATCGCAATCATTCCCAAAAAAAGGACCATTATCACCTTCTAATGATAACATAACTCAGCAAAAATGCATACTTGTAATTCAACGCCAAAATTCACTGATAAACTATGTTGTAATATACGGCTCATATAGAGTGGAACACTCAAATAGAGGAGCTTTTGTCAGGGACGCTCACAGTACGGTACAAGGGTTTTTTCCTTTCAATCTTGTACGTGCCCTAAAGTCTTGGGCTAGGGCTAGTATATATAGATAATGTAATCCTATTATTCACACACCATAAAAATCATAGCCCCTTCGCTCCGTGACAGGCCTATGGTTGAACCACTTAAATCTATGTTCTTATTTCTTTGTAGATTTCATATTCTTCATGTTATTATTGGTGCTCAAATCAAAACAAACTATAAACACTGTTCCTCAAGAACAGAATCAAATTTTTCAATTTTTTTGAGGAAGATTGATAAAGCAAAAATCTTTATTATTCAAAAATGAATTTTCAAATAAGTGATTAAAGAGACATCCGTTAGTCAGTTAGTACGTACATAAAGAAAATTCTGCATCTAAGTTTCATTTTGTGAAGTTTAATACTTTACATAAATTTCAATGTTACTGATCAAGCGTTGATTGCGGATACATACAAGAACGTATGCGTACATGAATGTTAGAATTTAGGTGATAATTAGTAACAAACCTCCGTCAGCAGATGATGGCAGAAGAGCAGAAGGATGAGCAGAAGAACCAACTTCTCCGCCGCCGTATCTCCAGTAGGGATCCCACATTTCAAATTGTTCTCGGAGGAGGAAATAGGAAATGACCTTCCAGTGTTATTTCAAAATGAACTTTGAGGAGAAAATGGAATTAACAAAAAAAAAGGGTCAAAAATATAGGTTAACTTTTAAAAAACCAAAATATCCCCGTTTGACAAAAGGAAAGCTCTCACCATCGACCGACCACCTAAAAATCAAGAAACCGACTGTTCGTCTGTTGGCTCAGTGACAGCCAACAGCCGAATCTGGGCCGACTGTCACTGGGCCACATCTAACAGTAGGTCCAATATTTATTTATGTTTTTATTTTTATAATTTAATAAAATAAATAAATA